GTCACGACGTGTTCCACGACTTCGGAAGAGAAAAGAGTCTGGCCTTTCAAGGGCAATTTATTTTTTTAGAACATAATATTTTCTATTTTTCTCCACGATATGGACTAACTGATACAAGGCATTTTCAAATCGAAAAAATATTATCGTATCTCTTAGATAGGGGATAAAAAAATTTGGATGCAAACTCCATTTTATCCTGGCAATAATGCTTCATTGTTCGTTGTCCCATTTCATTTATGGTGCTGTATCATCCTAAATATTCTTGTTTTGCGAAAAGCATCTGTAACTTTTGTTTTCAGCATATTAAAGAAGATTATACGTACTTTGAAACGCATCAGAATAGTTTACCGGAACCATCATATGTCAGGAAAACCCAAGCATGAAGCAAGCAATGCTTTAATCAACATCACGACGTGTTCCACGACTTCGGAAGAGAAAAGAGTCTAGCCTTTCAAGGGCAATTTATTTTTTTAGAATATAATATTTTCTATTTTTCTCCACGATATGGACTAACTGATACAAGGCATTTTCAAATGGAAAAAAGTATGGTCGTATATCTTTGATAGGGGACAAAAAAAATTAGGGTGCAAACTCCATTTTATCCTGGTTATAATGTTTCAATGTTCGCTGTCCCTTTTCATTTATGGTGTTGTATCATCCTAAATATTCTAATTTTGCGAAAAGCATCTGTAACTTTTGTTTTCAGCATATCAAAGAAGATTATACGTACTTTGAAACGCATCAGAATAGTTTACCGGAACCATCATATGTCAGGAAAACCCAAGCATGAAGCAAGCCATGCTTTAATCAACGTCACGACTTGTTTTACGACTTTGGAAGAGAAAAGAGTCGGGCCTTTCAAGCGCAATTTATTTTTTTAGAACATAATATTTTCCATTTTTCTCCACGATATGGACTAACTGATACAAAGCATTTTCAAATCGAAAAAATATTATCGTATCTCTTAGACAGGGGACAAAAAAATTTGAATGCAAAATTCATTTTATCCGGGTAATAATGTTTCATTGTTCGCTGTCATATTTCATTTATGGTGTTGTATAATCCTAAATATTCTAATTTTGCGAAAAACATCTGTAACTTTTGTTTTCAGCATATCAAAGAAGATTATACGTACTTTGAAACGCATCAAAATGTTTTACCGGAACCATCATATGTCAGGAATACCCAAGCATGAAGCAAGCCATGCTTTAATCAAGGTCACGACTTGTTTTACGACTTTGGAAGAAAAAAGAGTCGGGCCTTTCAAGCGCAATTTATTTTTGTAGAACATAATATTTTCCATTTTTCTCTACGATATGGACTAACTGATACAAAGCATTTTCAAATCGAAAAAATATTATCGTATCTCTTAGACAGGGGACAAAAAAATTTGGATGCAAAATTCATTTTATCCGGGTAATGATGATTCATTGTTCGCTGCCCCATTTCATTTATGGTGTTGTATCTTCCTAAATATTCTAATTTTGCGAAAAGCATCTGTAACTTTTGTTTTCAGCATATCAAAGAAGATTATACGTACTTCCTTAACCCATCAAAATGGTTTACCGGAAGTGGCTGAACAACTGACTAAATAAAGTCGAAACGTTGAATCAAAATGCTTACTTTATTCGGAGTTACTATTGTTGTGTATTCAATGAGGAATACCAGACTATAATAGTTCACATTTCCTGCTTTACTTTAAAGGTAATATTCTGTATACACTCAAGGAAATTTAGGAGCTGTTTATTGAGGATATAGCCAGGGGCAGATTAGTATAAAGTGTGATAACTTGCATACCCAGGAACTTCAACAAATATTCCAGAAATTAATTTCAAAAATTATTGTCGTGTGCACGTTATTGACCATGGTAAACATAGCTCTTTGAATTTGCATTAAAACAATGGATAATACGCGATTATCCATTGTTTTTAATGCATTTGGGGCATTCTGGTTCTTACCGGTGGCGATTCGAGGGTTGAGGTTTGCTCTGAAAAAGAATGTTGTGAAAAAACTGTTAAAGAGTTTTCGCTGTAAGTTTCAAAAAATAGACCAAAGGAAAGCGTGCTTTAAAGTACATTAACAATGTATAGTATAGCAAATCTTTTCCTACGGTCTCTCTATAAAGGTAAGTGTTGTTTTCATATGTGATGTTCTTAGAGTCAGCACACTAAGGTCTAACATGTTTAAGGGCGGTGTCTATATTTGTTCCGAAATATCTCAAAACGTACAGAAAGATAATGAAAATCTGTGAACGTAATTGGAAACTATGCTCAAAAGTTCGCTCTAATAAGCGAAAAAATATTCGCACGTAAAAAGGATAAGTGGTTACCAATAGCGACCAGGAGAAAACCCCTCAAGTACAGGAGAGAATCTACTTTACACCGAGGGTACTTAATAACTGACTTCCCTGAATAATGTCAGCGATGGCGACCTTTGCTTACCTGCAAGACAGGAAAGATATTTCAGACTGATCAAGGATTGGCCTAAAAGTGAAAGAATGACGCGAATGTTCGCCAGAATTGACCCAAATGAACCTTCATCATTTTGATAAGTCAGAATATTTCTCATCACCTTGTCGCAGTAATAACTGTGTTTGCACAGACAACGTTGTGGGGACCTGTGCAAGTTCCACCTATACGTTGTGGGGACTTGCTGCATTGTGGGGACCTGAGCCAAGTCCCCACAATGTTTGACCACTATTATCTCAAAGAATAGACCGAAAAAGCTTCTGCAATGATGTTACTAGTAGATTAATACATATCTTCTCCTCCAAGTTTTAATTTGGATACAAAAAAATAGAATATAAGCCAATATAACAAACGTAAATGTGAAATTTATCGAAGTCCCCACAATGCAATTACGCAGGTTTAGTACACACGCAGTGTAAAAAATGCACGGAGCATTGTGAGGACTTGTGCAAGAACTTTCACATTGTGGGGACTTAACCTCAGGTCCCCATAAAGTCATTCCTACGAGTTTTTATCACACTGTATATATAAAATGTCACGCCATAGTACCAGAGTCTCGATTTTCTTTTTTTCAGGAATATTTTGTTAAAATACACATGTACAAAGTATATGTGACAGATGAATGGAGAAATAGTGAAATGATGAAAAAGATTAAAATTGATTTGGCAAATCATTGTGCAAGGCAAATCCTTTATTGGTAATTTGCCTCTAAAAACTCACATTTTTAAACTTATTCATAATGTTGGTTTCAAGTTGATATTTATATCCATGAAGTTTCACCTCGAGGATTACGTTCCTCCCCCGAAATTAGATAGTGTTTAGATATAGATATAGCGCCATTTTGAAAACTAACATATAATAACATTTCAATCTTGATAACCAAAAAAGTGCAGCATTCAAACATTTAAACCTGATGATAATAATAATACAATTTTTACTTTGTTATTCCAAGTGGTAGTGTTTTAATTTGGTCACTGAATACAACAGAATAGCGAATGCTGGAATATCTGTATAGAGCCGAGGTCTATTAGACTTAGGTTATTGTATTTTTAGTTGAAACATTTTGCATGTATTAGGCATGAATTGCGAAACGGGTTTGTCATATTTAACTAATCATTTTTAGTGTTGTAACATTTTATGCAGTATTGTGATGAGTGGCGAAAATTGAAACAAGTCATTAAGGCCTCTTTTCCACTCATCGTAAAATCAACTCGCAAGATCGCTGCGAGTTCTTGCATCTAATTAAAATAGACTGACAAGCATTGTGATTGGACGAAGCTAATCGCAGCAAGCTTGCGAGTAAGTTTTTGCGATGAGTGGGTGAGGGCCTAGTCAGTAAGTCAGGCAGTCATAGTGTAAACTTTCCCGGGAGATTGGTTAATGCTTATAGTAATTTTTTGTTCATGTTCAGTTATGTAAAGTTTATAAATCAGTTTAACTTGATTTATCTATTAATTCGCTGCCCCTTTTGCTAAGGGTGAGTTTTTTTACTCACCCTGTGGTGCATGTAGTCACAGTTGCTTGACGAAGAGATAATTGCGCCCGCTTTGCATGATAAGCTAAAATAATAATTTCAATAATGACAATATCGCCTCTAAAGTACTTTTAGTAGTTTGAGTAATTTCCTGTTTGATTAAGAGTAATTAACTAGTTCTTTATATTTTTAGGACAAACATCTGGTTGCTTAGGTATTAGAGGGCATGGAAACTTTGATCCCTACTCTCTCTTGTCATCCGCGAGTATTATTTTAAAAACTATCTACAGCGATTGAACTTAGATTTTTTACAAGATACTACAACTAGATTAACCAAATTAACCTGGATTACTATGCTGACACAAATCATTACAGACGTGTTGAAAACTTGTAGGGATGACTTTATGGGGACCTGAGTGTACAGTAAGTCCTCACAATGTGAAAGTTCTTGAACAAGTCCTGATGTGTTGAAAACTTGTAGCAATGACTCTATGGGGACCTGAGTGTACAGTAAGTCCTCACAGTGTGAAAGTTCTTGCACAAGTCCTGATGTGTTGAAAACTTGTAGGGATGACTCTATGGGGACCTGAGTGTACACTAAGTCCTCACAATGTGAAAGTTCTTGAACAAGTCCTGATGTGTTGAAAACTTGTAGGGATGACTTTATGGGGACCTGAGTGTACAGTAAGTCCTCACAGTGTAAAAGTTCTTGCACAAGTCCTGATGTGTTAAAAACTTGTAGGGATGACTTTATGGGGACCTGAGTGTACAGTAAGTCCTCATAGTGTAAAAGTTCTTCCACAAGTCCTGATGTGTTGAAAACTTGTAGGGATGACTTTATGGGGACCTGAATGTACAGTAAGTCCTCACAGTGAAAAAAATCTTGCACAAATCCTGATGTGTTGAAAACTTGTAGAGATGACTTAATGAGGACCTGAGTGTACAGTAAGTCCTCACAGTGTAAAAGTTCTTGCACAAGTCCCAATGTGTTGAAAACTTGAAGGAAGACTTTATGGAGACCTGAGTGTACAGTGAGTCCTCACAGTGTAAAAGTTCTTGCACAAGTCCAGATGTGTTGAAAACTTGTAGCAATGACTTTATGGGGACCTGAGTGTACAGTAAGTCCTCACAGTGTGAAAGTTCTTGAACAAGTCATCAAAATGCAACAAATCACGTGGTGTGGGAAAGTGGATGAGTTCACATGTCAACACTTGATTAGAGCAGATAAAGTCCGTATAGGACTTCACAACCATGAAGGACAGCACCTAATACCGTTACATACAGTTATGAATCGCACCCAAGATGAAGACAGTATAACTGTTTTGATTGAAGATAATATAAACCGCAACTGTATATAATTAACAAACTGTTGGGAAGGGGCATTTAAACTATTTTTTACAACACTTTTCTTACAATTTGCAATGCAATTCTACTCCTGAGGCATCTAAACTTGTCAAATACGAACATTTATTACAATCTGCTAACTTTTTTAAAATTTCGAACACTGGTTACAAATCAACATCCCTCAAAATTATAATTGCACTAAGAGTTGCAAGAAAATTGCATAGTGTAACAGTGACAGAGTAGATTTTGTTAAATGTTAACAAAAATTGTAATAAACTTACCACATGCATCATTAAAAAACTCTCAGTCAAAGTTTGCTTAATAGTGATCATTTAAATGGGTCAATGTAACAAAGGTCAAAAGGATTTCTCACATGTTCCATCCTAAAAATATATATTGCAGCGAAAAAGATGTTAGGAGTAAAATAGATACTATTCCATCTTAAATAGCAAATATATTGCCTATGCTGTGTTTATAAAGTGTCACTATAAAAAGATATAAATAACTAAGAGTTAAAGACACAGACAGGAAAAATAACTTACCAAAATGATTTGCTGTAAAAGTATACGAATGTGCTGTGAAACAGTCAGTCTAAGAAACAGAGAATTGTGTTAAGTGATTATATTATCCATAGGAAAAACAAATATGTCCACGTCAGAAACTTGCATGGCCACGTACTTGGCTTGTCATATAGCCAAAATAAGAATATGCTTGCATTTTGTATTTAAAAGTCATCTAAAGCACAGTAGCAGCAATGAGGGAGGGACTCTATCGCACTTAAAACTTTATCGTGTCTTTTAAAACAGAATCTCTCAAGAATTTTGATAGGCAGACTATTCACAGGTGCATTAGGTGCGTAGGTGCGAGATTACACCCTTTCAAGATATAAGGGTTCAGAGTTATATAACCTAAGGATCCAAAGATCCAAAGTTTCAGTGCCCTCCCAATGCATTAAATGAGCCAACATCACGTCTGTCGCAAAATAATTTTAACTTCTGCTCATGCAACTCGTAGTATACAGTACTCAAAGAACTTAAATCATGTTCCCGGCAATATTCAATTGCATTATTGAATTCTACAGTATTTTAAGTTGCTCATGCGTTGCTCATTGCATATTTTTTGTTTGTCTTCTTTTGTATTTTTTTTTGTGTCTAAAGGTCTATTGCACAGTGCCCCATGTGGTGCATTGCATTTAAAAGAAAAAATGAAAATCGTCAAATAAAGGGATACATTTCTAATAATATGGTGCATGGAAGAACACCAAGAAATGTTCAAAAGATGCCAGCAATTCGGTTTAGAAACATGCATGGAGTTACAATAAAGTTACGGACTAACAAAATTGGTCGCAAACAGGGACGACTAAGCAATAGACAATTTATGCACTGAACCGACCATCATTTGATTCAGAACAAACAATCAAGGGTTAACAGAATTTGAACACTAATTAATATCCTAGGAATCCAAAGCATAAGAGTAAAATAGATATTATTCCATCTTAAATAGCAAATATATTGCCTATGCTGTGTTTATAAAGTGTCACAATAAAAAGAAAAAAATAACTAAGCGTTAAAGACACAGACAGGAAAAATAACTTACCAAAATGATTTGCTGTAAAAGTATACGAATCTGCTGTGAAACAGTCAGTCTAAGAAACAGAGAATTGTGTTAAGTGATTATATTATCCATAGGAAAAACAAATATGTCCATGTCAGAAACTTGCATGGCCACGTACTTGGCTTGTCATATAGCCAAAATAAGAATATGCTTGCATTTTGTATTTAAAAGTCATCTAAAGCACAGTAGCAGCAAGGAGGGAGGGACTCTATCGCACTTAAAACTTTATCGTGTTTTTTAAAACAGAATCTAACAAGAATTTTGATAAGCAGACTATTTACAGGTGCATTAGGTGCGTAGGTGCGAGATTACACCCTTTCAAGATATAAGGGTTCAGAGTTATATAACCTAAGGATCCAAAGATCCAAAGTTTCAGTGCCCTCCCAATGCATTAAATGAGCCAACATCACGTCTGTCGCAAAATAATTTTAACTTCTGCTCATGCAACTCGTAGTATACAGTACTCAAAGAACTTAAATCATGTTCCCGGCAATATTCAATTGCATTATTGAATTCTACAGTATTTTAAGTTGCTCATGCGTTGCTCATTGCATATTTTTTGTTTGTCTTCTTTTGTATTTTTTTTTGTGTCTAAAGGTCTATTGCACAGTGCCCCGTGTGGTGCATTGCATTTAAAAGAAAAAATGAAAATCGTCAAATAAAGGGATACATTTCTAATAATATGGTGCATGGAAGAACACCAAGAAATGTTCAAAAGATGCCAGCAATTCGGTTTAGAAACATGCATGGAGTTACAATAAAGTTACGGACTAACAAAATTGGTCGCAAACAGGGACGACTAAGCAATAGACAATTTATGCACTGAACCGACCATCATTTGATTCAGAACAAACAATCAAGGGTTAACAGAATTTGAACACTAATTAATATCCTAGGAATCCAAAGCATAAGAGTAAAATAGAAATTATTCCATCTTAAATAGCAAATATATTGCCTATGCTGTGTTTATAAAGTGTCACAATAAAAAGAAAAAAATAACTAAGCGTTAAAGACACAGACAGGAAAAATAACTTACCAAAATGATTTGCTGTAAAAGTATACGAATCTGCTGTGAAACAGTCAGTCTAAGAAACAGAGAATTGTGTTAAGTGATTATATTATCCATAGGAAAAACAAATATGTCCATGTCAGAAACTTGCATGGCCACGTACTTGGCTTGTCATATAGCCAAAAAAAAGAATATGCTTGCATTTTGTATTTAAAAGTCATCTAAAGCACAGTAGCAACAAGGAGGGAGGGACTCTATCGCACTTAAAACTTTATCGTGTTTTTTAAAACAGAATCTAACAAGAATTTTGATAAGCAGACTATTTACAGGTGCATTAGGTGCGTAGGTGCGAGATTACACCCTTTCAAGATATAAGGGTTCAGAGTTATATAACCTAAGGATCCAAAGATATAAAGTTTCAGTGCCCTCCCAATGCATTAATGAGCCAACATCACGTCTGTCGCAAAATAATTTTAACTTCTGCTCATGCAACTCGTAGTATACAGTACTCAAAGAACTTAAATCATGTTCCCGGCAATATTCAATTGCATTATTGAATTCTACAGTATTTTAAGTTGCTCATGCGTTGCTCATTGCACATTTTTTCTTTGTCTTCTTTTGTATTTTTTTTGTGTCTAAAGGTCTATTGCACAGTGCCCCATGTGGTGCATTGGATTTAAACGAAAAAATGAAAATCGTCAAATAAAGGGAATACATTTCTAATAATATGGTGCATGAAAGAACACGAAGAAATGTTCAAAAGATGCCAGCAATTCGCTTTAGAAACATGTATGGAGTTACAATAAAGTTACAGAATTACAAAATTGGTCGCAAACGGGGACGACTCAGCAATAGACAACTTATGCACTGAACCGACCATCATTTGATTCAGAACAAACAATCAAGGGGTGACAGAATTTGAACACTAATTAATATCCTAGGAATCCAAAGCATAAGAGTAAAATAGATATTATTCCATCTTAAATAGCAAATATATTGCCTATGCTGTGTTTATAAAGTGTCACTATAAAAAGATATAAATAACTAAGCGTTAAAGACACATACAGGAAAAATAACTTACCAAAATGATTTGCTGTAAAAGTATACGAATCTGCTGTGAAACAGTCAGTCTAAGAAACAGAGAATTGTGTTAAGTGATTATATTATCCATAGGAAAAACAAATATGTCCATGTCAGAAACTTGCATGGCCACGTACTTGGCTTGTCATATAGCCATAATAAGAATATGCTTGCATTTTGTATTTAAAAGTCATCTAGGGCACAGTAGCAGCAACGAGGGAGGGACTCTATCGCACTTAAAACTTTATCGTGTTTTTTAAAACAGAATCTCTCAAGAATTTTGATAGGCAGACTATTTACAGGTGCATTAGGTGCGTAGGTGCGAGATTACACCCTTTCAAGATATAAGGGTTCAGAGTTATATAACCTAAGGATCCAAAGATCCAAAGTTTCAGTGCCCTCCCAATGCATTAATGAGCCAACATCACGTCTGTCACAAAATAATTTTAACTTCTGCTCATGCAACTCGTAGTATACAGTACTCAAAGAACTTAAATCATGTTCCCTGCAATATTCAATTGCATTATTGAATTCTACAGTATTTTAAGTTGCTCATGCGTAGCTCATTGCATATTTTTTCTTTGTCTATTTTTGTATTTTTTTTGTGTCTAAAGGTCTATTGCACAGTTTCTTATGTGGTGCATTGGATTTAAACGAAAAAATGAAAATCGTCAAATAAAGGGTTACATTTCTAATAATATGGTGCATGGAAGAACACCAAGAAATGTTCAAAAGATGCCAGCAATTCGGTTTAGAAACATGCATGGAGTTACATTAAGTTACAGACTAACAAAATTGGTCGCAAACGGGGACGACTAAGCAATAGACAATTTATGCACTGAACCGACCATCATTTGATTCAGAACAAACAATCAAGGGGTGACAGAATTTGAACACTAATTAATATCCTAGGAATCCAAAGCATAAGAGTAAAATAGATATTATTCCATCTTAAATAGCAAATATATTGCCTATGCTGTGTTTATAAAGTGTCACAATAAAAAGTATAAATAACTAAGAGTTAAAGACAAGACAGGAAAAATAACTTACCAAAATGATTTGCTGTAAAAGTATACGAATGTGCTGTGAAACAGTCGTCTAAGAAACAGAGAATTGTGTTAAGTGATTATATTATCCATAGGAAAAACAAATATGTCCATGTCAGAACTTGCATGGCCACGTACTTGGCTTGTCATACAGCCAAAATAAGAATATGCTTGCATTTTGTATTTAAAAGTCATTAAAGCACAGTAGCAGCAATGAGGGAGGGACTCTCGCACTTAAAACTTTACGTGTCTTTTAAAACGAATCTCTCAAGAATTTTGATAGGCAGACTATTTACAGGTGCATTAGGTGCGTAGGTGCGAGATTACACCCTTTCAAGATATAAGGGTTCAGAGTTATATAACCTAAGGATCCAAAGTTTCAGTGCCCTCCCAATGCATTAATGAGCCAACATCACGTCTGTCGCAAAATAATTTTAACTTCTGCTCATGCAACTCGTAGTATACAGTACTCAAAGAACTTAAATCATGTTCCCTGCAATATTCAATTGCATTATTGAATTCTACAGTATTTTAAGTTGCTCATGCGTTGCTCATTGCATATTTTTTCTTTGTCATTTTTTTTGTATTTTTTTTGTGTCTAAAGGTCTATTGCACAGTTTATGTGCATTGGATTTAAACGAAAAAATAAAAATCGTCAAATAAAGGGTTACATTTCTAATAATATGGTGCATGGAAGAACACCAAGAAATGTTCAAAAGATGCCAGCAATTCCGTTTAGAAACATGCATGGAGTTACAATAAAGTCACAGATTAACAAAATTGGTCGCAAACGGGGACGACTAAGCAATAGACAATTTATGCACTGAACCGACTATCATTTGATTCAGAACAAACAATCAAGGGGTGACAGAATTTGAACACTAATTAATATCCTAGGAATCCAAAGCATAAGAGTAAAATAGATATTATTCCATCTTAAATAGCAAATATATTGCCTATGCTGTGTTTATAAAGTGTCACAATAAAAAGAAAAAAATAACTAAGCGTTAAAGACACAGACAGGAAAAATAACTTACCAAAATGATTTGCTGTAAAAGTATACGAATCTGCTGTGAAACAGTCAGTCTAAGAAACAGAGAATTGTGTTAAGTGATTATATTATCCATAGGAAAAACAAATATGTCCATGTCAGAAACTTGCATGGCCACGTACTTGGCTTGTCATATAGCAATAATAAGAATATGCTTGCATTTTGTATTTAAAAGTCATCTAAAGCACAGTAGCAGCAATGAGGGAGGGACTCTATCGCACTTAAAACTTTATCGTGTTTTTTAAAACAGAATCTCTCAAGAATTTTGATAGGCAGACTATTTACAGGTGCATTAGGTGCGTAGGTGCGAGATTACACCCTTTCAAGATATAAGGGTTCAGAGTTATATAACCTAAGGATCCAAAGATATTCAGTGCCCTCCCAATGCATTAATGAGCCAACATCACGTCTGTGGCAAAATAATTTTAACTTCTGCTCATGCAACTCGCAGTATACAGTACTCAAAGAACTTAAATCATGTTCCCGGCAATATTCAATTGCATTATTGAATTCTACAGTATTTTAAGTTGCTCATGCGTTGCTCATTGCATATTTTTTCTTTGTCTTCTTTTGTATTTTTTTTGTGTCTAAAGGTCTATTGCACAGTTTCTTATGTGGTGCATTGGATTTAAACGAAAAAATAAAAATCGTCAAATAAAAGGTTACATTTCTAATAATATGGTGCATGAAAGAACACGAAGAAATGTTCAAAAGATGCCAGCAATTCGCTTTAGAAACATGCATGGAGTTACAATAAAGTTACAGAATTACAAAATTCGTCGCAAACGGGCACGACTCAGCAATAGACAATTTATGCACTGAACCGACCATCATTTGATTCAGAACAAACAATCAAGGGGTGACAGAATTTGAACACTAATTAATATCCTAGGAATCCAAAGCATAAGAGTAAAATAGATATTATTCCATCTTAAATAGCAAATATATTGCCTATGCTGTGTTTATAAAGTGTCACTATAAAAAGATATAAATAACTAAGAGTTAAAAACACAGACAGGAAAAATAACTTACCAAAATGATTTGCTGTAAAAGAATACGAATGTGCTGTGAAACAGTCAGTCTAAGAAACAGAGAATTGTGTTAAGTGATTATATTATCCATAGGAAAAACAAATATGTCCATGTCAGAAACTTGCATGGCCACGTACTTGGCTTGTCATATAGCCATAATAAGAATATGCTTGCATTTTGTATTTAAAAGTCATCTAAAGCACAGTAGCAGCAATGAGGGAGGGACTCTATCGCACTTAAAACTTTATCGTGTTTTTTAAAACAGAATCTCTCAAGAATTTTGATAGGCAGACTATTTACAGGTGCATTAGGTGCGTGGGTGCGAGATTACACCCTTTCAAGATATAAGGGTTCAGAGTTATATAACCTAAGGATCCAAAGATCCAAAGTTTCAGTGCCCTCCCAATGCATTAAATGAGCCAACATGACGTCTGTGACAAAATAATTTTAACTTCTGCTCATGCAACTCGCAGTATACATTTTCAAAGAACTTAAATCATGTTCCCTGCAATATTCAATTGCATTATTGAATTCTATTCTAAGTTGCTCATGCGTTGCTCATTGCATATTTTTTCTTTGTCTTCTTTTGTATTTTTTTGGTGTCTAAATGTCTATTGCACAGTGCCCCATGTGGTCCATTGGATTTAAACGAAAAAATGAAAATCGCCAAATAAAGGGAATACATTTCTAATAATATGGTGCATGGAAGAACACGAAGAAATGTTCAAAAGATGCCAGCAATTCGCTTTAGAAACATGCATGGAGTTACAATAGAGTTACAGAATTACAAAATTGGTCGCAAACGGGTACGACTCAGCAATAGACAATTTATGCACTGAACCGACCATCATTTGATTCAGAACAAACAATCAAGGGGTGACAGAATTTGAACACTAATTAATATCCTAGGAATCCAAAGCATAAGAGTAAAATAGATATTATTCCATCTTAAATAGCAAATATATTGCCTATGCTGTGTTTATAAAGTGTCACTATAAAAAGATATAAATAACTAAGAGTTAAAAACACAGACAGGAAAAAAAACTTACCAAAATGATCTGCTGTAAAAATATACGAATGTGCTGTGAAACAGTCAGTCTAAGAAATAGAGAATTGTGCTAAGTGATTATATTATGCATAGGAAAAACAAATATGTCCATGTCAGAAACTTGCATGGCCACGTACTTGGCTTGTCATATAGCCAAAATAACAATATGCTTGCATTTTGTATTTAAAAGTCATCTAAAGCACAGTAGCAGCAATGAGGGAGGGACTCTATCGCACTTAAAACTTTATCGTGTTTTTTAAAACAGAATCTCTCAAGAATTTTGATAGGTAGACTATTTACAGGTGCATTAGGTGCGTAGGTGCGAGATTACACCCTTTCAAGATATAAGGTTTCAGAGTTATATAACCTAAGGATCCAAAGATCCAAAGTTTCAGTGCCCTCCCAATGCATTAATGAGCCAACATCACGTCTGTCGCAAAATAATTTTAACTTCTGCTCATGCAACTCGTAGTATACAGTACTCAAAGAACTTAAATCATGTTCCCTGCAATATTCAATTGCATTATTGAATTCTCTTCTAAGTTGCTCATGCGTTGCTCATTGCATATTTTTTGTTTGTCTTCTTTTGTATTATTTTGTGTCTAAAGGTCTATTGCACAGTGCCCCATGTGGTGCATTGGATTTAAACGAAAGAATGAAAATCGTCAAAAAAAGGGAATACATTTCTAATAATATGGTGCATGGAAGAACACGAAGAAACGTTCAAAAGATGCCAGCAATTCGCTTTAGAAACATGCATGGAGTTACAATAGAGTTACAGAATTACAAAATTGGTCGCAAACGGGGACGACTCAGCAATAGACAATTTATGCACTGAACCGACCATCATTTGATTCAGAACAAACAATCAAGGGGTGACAGAATTTGAACACTAATTAATATCCTAGGAATCCAAAGCATAACAGTAAAATAGATATTATTCCATCTTAAATAGCAAATATATTGCCTATGCTGTGTTTATAAAGTGTCACTCTAAAAAGATATAAATAACTAAGAGTTAAAAACACAGACAGGAAAAATAACTTACCAAAATGATTTGCTGTAAAAGTATACGAATGTGCTGTGAAACAGTCAGTCTAAGAAACAGAGAATTGTGTTAAGTGATTATATTATCCATAGGAAAAACAAATATGTCCATGTCAGAAACTTGCATGGCCACGTACTTGGCTTGTCATATAGCCATAATAAGAATATGCTTGCATTTTGTATTTAAAAGTCATCTAAAGCACAGTAGCAGCAATGAGGGAGGGACTCTATCGCACTTAAAACTTTATCGTGTTTTTTAAAACAGAATCTCTCAAGAATTTTGATAGGCAGACTATTTACAGGTGCATTAGGTGCGTAGGTGCGAGATTACACCCTTTCAAGATATAAGGGTTCAGAGTTATATAACCTAAGGATCCAAAGATCCAAAGTTTCTGTGCCCTCCCAATGCATTAATGAGCCAACATCACGTCTGTCGCAAAATAATTTTAACTTCTGCTCATGCAACTCGCAGTATACAGTTTCAAAGAACTTAAATCATGTTCCCTGCAATATCCAATTGCATTATTGAATTCTATTCACAACCCATATAATGAGATGCAAAGGGATGAATTATCACTGGAGTGACATATATTGCGTCAGTGGCTGTGGGCATCCGTAATACACGGCACTTTGACTATAAATAAGGGTTAAACCCCTAAGCGGGTGCTCAGTTGATTCCAGCGGACAACAAAGGCCGAAGGACGACCCACCCGCCCTTCCCGATATTGCGTGGGTCGTAAAAATCGCCACCTCATCACCAGGCTTGCCAGCCTGGCCTACACCGCTGGATCATATTTCCCCATACTAATACAGACTGAGCATCTCTAGAGGGGTTGTGAATAATGTTGTAATCCCACCCAAAAAGAGGAACTGACTGGGATAAGAAACTTTCTGATTTGATGGAAAGAGCTAGCGCAAGAATACCTGATGATTTTGATGAGCAACTAAGAGAACTAAGAATTGGCTGAGGGTGTGAAGACGTATATATACCAGCAAATGGCCAACAAATTCATTGCAAATTTGACTCTAAATTTTTGGGTGATGTTACGAATTATTCGTAACTTTGTGGGACGATCAAAAATGCAGTTTATAACAACAAAGAACTTACAAACAACTTTACAAGTTCAATTACTAATTTCGTTTTTGGGCATTCGCAAAATTAAATGGCTAGCCATAACACAGCAAATAATCGCCGCGAACGCCTGAGTCTTGATAAAATCGCCGCACACGCACACTCATGTATTGAAAACTTGTAAGGATGACTTTATGGGAACCTGAGTGTACAGTAAGTCCTCACAGTGTAATAGTTCTTGAACAAGTCTTGATGTGTTGAAAACTTGTACCAATGACTTTATGGGGACCTGAGTGTACAGTAAGTCCTCACAGTGTGAAAGTTCTTGCACAAGTCCTGATGTGTTGAAAACTTCTAGGGATGACTTTATGGCGACCTGAGTGTACAGTAAGTCCTCACAGTGTAAAAGTTCTTGCACAAGTCCTGACGTGTTGAAAACTTGTAGGGATGACTTTATGGGGACCTGAGTGTACAGTAAGTCCTCACAATGTAAAAGTTCTTGCACAAGTCCTGATGTGTTGAAAACTTGTAGGAATGACTTTATGGGGACCTGAGTGTACAGTAAGTCCCCACAATGTAAAAGTTCTTGCACAAGTCCTGATGTGTTGAAAACTTGTAGGGATGACTTTATGGGGACCTGAGTGTACAGTAAGTCCTCACATTGTAAAAGTTCTTGCACAAGTCCTGATGTGTTGAAAACTTGTAGGGATGACTTTATGGGTGAGTGAAAATATAAGCCGCTATAATTAACAAACTGTTGTGAAGAGGCAATTTATCTATTCTTCACCAAACTTTTCTTAAAATTTGCAATGCAATTCTACTCCTGCGGCATCTAATGTTGTCAAATACGAACATTTATTACGACCTGCTAACTTTTTTAAAATTTCGAACACTCGCTACAATCTAACATCCCTCAAAACTATAATTGCACTAAGAGTTGCAAGAGAATTGCATAGTGTAACAGTGACAGAGTAGATTTTGTTAAATGTTAACAAAAAATGTAATAAACTTACCACATGCATCATTTAAAAACTCTCAGTCAAAGTTTGCTTAATAGTGATCATTTAAATGGGTCAATGTAACAAAGGTCAAAAGGATTTCTCACATGTTCCATCCTAAAATATATATATTGCAGCGAAAAAGATGTTAGGAGTAAAATAGATACTATTCCATCTTAAATAGCAAATATATTGCCTATGCTGTGTTTATAAAGTGTCACTATAAAAAGATATAAATAACTAAGAGTTAAAGACACAGACAGGAAAAATAACTTACCAAAATGATTTGCTGTAAAAGTATACGAATGTGCTGTGAAACAGTCAGTCTAGGAAACAGAGAATTGTGTTAAATGCTTATATTATCCAGAAGAAAAATAAATATGTCTATGTCAGAAACTTGCATGGCCACGTACTTGGCTTGTCATATAGCCAAAGTAAGAATATGCTTGCATTTTGTATTTAAAAGTCATCTAAAGCACAGTAGCAGCAATGAGGGAGGGACTCTATCGCACTTAAAACTTTACCGTGTCTTTTAAAACAGAATCTCTCAAGAATTTTGATAGGCAGACTATTAACAAGTGCCTAAGGTGCGTAGGTGCGAGATTACACCCTTCCAATATATAAGGGTTCAGAGTTATATAACCTAAGGATCCAAAGATCCAAAGTTTAAGTGCCCTCCCAATGCATTAATG